TCCTTTGTGAATTGAGAGCTCTTGCAGAAGTCTGTCTTATAAAACATATGTACAAAGTTATTCCAGTTTTGGGCTGTTACTATATTGACAGCTATTCCATTTAATTTGGCAAACTATGATAAAATATTAAATCAATCAATATAAAAACTTGCTACAAATAATCATTCTGAAATTATCTTATCAACTCAAGGAAAAGGAAGACTAAAAAAAACAAAATTTAGAAATATGTTACAAGCTTATGTTTCAAGCTTGACTGTGAGCTGATTCCTGCTTTCTATCACAAAGCATAAGTTTTTAAGGAAATCAATAAATTTGAGGGTATTCCAGAAATATTTAAATTATTATTCTAATAAAAGAACAAGATACAGAAGTCTTTCAAATGTGTCCATGAAAACAAAAGCTCAAAACGGCTAGTTTATCGATAAGTTTTTCCCTGTTAGACAGAGGATTTGCTGCCCAGGGTGGTATGAACTGATGACACTTTTGCCACAGCCTTTTAAGCCCTGGAGTTCCCTGGCCACAAAAGCAAATTTTCTTGTATTAAAACCCAAGTAACCTGTCAGGAGATAGGATATAAATGATATTTAATTCGTTCTTTGAGAAAGAAATGTGAAAGTGGCATAGGAGACACAGTGCTAGATGGAAAATGTCTCTGAGACTGATGCAGAGTAGGACAGGGAACTGACCTCAGGGTTAGGGATTCTCACAGAAATTATTTCTAGGAAAATGATTTGCTCAGATGCAAAAAAAAAAAAAAAGAAAGAAAGAAAAGAAAAGAAAAGAAAAGAAAAAAAGAATCTGGTGAGTTTTCACATGCCCCGTTCCATGACATGCACAGTGATGAATGCTTGCTTATTTTTCTTCCATGAAAATCAAACCCTAAATTATGAACTCACTCTTCTCTGTTATAGCTGGAGTCTCTTCTCAGACTTTGTACTGAACATGTGAATATTTCCTTCACAATAAATCTTCCTCTAACTAATCACTGTTTCTCTGCTCACTAGAGTCTTTCCTGAGAGTAAGTCTTCAGTGGTTATCTGCTGGCTTCACCTGAAAACAAATGACAAGCAAACTGTTAGAAAATAATGAAAACTCAAATTCTGGTTGCTGAATACTAAAGATGAATCATAATATAAAATTAGATAACAAATTTGAAAGTTAGGGGACTGGAGAAATGGCTCGGTGGTTAAGAGCATTGGTTGTTCTTCCAAAGGCCCTGAGTTCAATTCCCAGCAACCACATGGTGGCTCACAATCATCTATGAAATCTGGTGCCCTCTTCTGGCCTGCAAGCACATATGCAGACAGAACACTCTATGTATGTATGTATGTATGTATGTATGTATGTATGTATGTATGTATGTATGTATGTATAAATAATAAAATGTTAAAAAATCGAAAGTTTGAGATATTTTCGTTACAAGGGTGGTTTTGTTCTTGGTTACAATCAAATGTTCATTTAAAATATTAGTATCTGGGGCTGGAGATATGTTTGTTGGTTAAATCACTGCTTTTTCAGAGGACCCAGTTTAGATTTCTAATACCCACATGACGACTCACAGCTGTCTACAATACTAAGGAGATCTGACACACTTTCTGAACTTTAGGGACACCAGGCACACACACAGAACACAGACATACATACACACAGACATCCACATGTTACACATAAAACAAGTAAATAAAACAACTATGAATAGCTATAGAGATATAGCTTAGTAATAGAGCTTGGCTTGTTCTCCAGCAATGGAAAAATAGTAACCAAAAAAAGAAAAGCAATACTAAAACCCATTTTGTCCCTCAACTCCATTGTTTTTCAGGAAAAGATTTCAGTAGCACCCATCCACAACAAACTGATGCTTCAAGTTCCAAAACCATTTTCACTGAAAGGACATTCCATCTGCTAAAATTAGGCAAAGTTCTACACAAAGCAACCCAGAAAGCTTTTGACAAAATTCTATAATTTCATTTCTATTGGTGATTGTTATGAAGTTATGAGTTATTATTTGGAACAGAAAAAACAATGCTTTGCTTTTCTGTAGAAAAAATAATAATTTTATGGAGCCAACCGTTTTTTTAAATAAAAGCATCTGTGACTTGGCCACATGCAACACTCATCTGTAACTGAAGATTCCCTAACACTAACACAAACTCTAAACTTTCTTAGAAGAAATATTTTCTGTGTTCAGATTTCCACCATTGGTCTAACTAATAAATAATAAATTCTTTGAAATTAACTGTTAAATAAACAATGATGGACCATGTACAAATTTTCTACCATAATTTAGATATCCTTTTGTCCTCTCAGAAATGCAGTTTTGTGGCACAGTAGCCACCTGTAGTGTTCAAACCCACAGCTGCCCCTGAAAGTTATTGCCTGAGATTACTGAATCAGAAACACTCACCCCAGGATTCTGAGCTGTAACCAGCTCTCTGGAAGAGTTATGGCTTTGCTAAGGACTGAAAATCCCTGAGCTGGGACAACCAAAGTCCAAGCTCACAAAGCCTCTCAACAGCTCTGTGGATATTTTAGTGACTCTATCTCCCAAGCGACACAGGGTCAGATTAAATGAAGCAACATTATCTAAGTCCAAACTTTTATTTCAAAAGATAGTACACCTACAAGTCCACCCCCCGCCCACACATACACACACAAGAAGGCAGCTCAACACAATTGTTCTCCAGGGACATAAGATGGTTTCAAAACATGCAGTACGGACAGGAAATATCAGAAGCTGCTGAGCAGTTGGAGAGCTGCACACACAAGACATCCTGGAGTGAGTTTTCCAAACTTGGATGAGGAAAGATAAATAATTTGTGGAAATTCTAACACAACCTTATAATCTTACTTAATTTGGGAAATTAGGCTATACTTTTAACAAGAAAACAAGGGCACTTTATCAAAAATAAGCATGTTCTAAAATTTTATATAAACATAAGGGACCATGTGAGAAAACTAGTGAATAAGAAAAGTTAGCATGCTACATGTATGTGTTTGTGACACTTGGGTAAACTATTAAAACACTTTTTCAATAGCTCAGATGTCAACAAAAAAGACAATCACATGATCAATGTTGTGACCCTGTCCCTGTGTCTTTTTTGATATGTGTAAATCTTTATAACCCAAATGCCAATTCTGTTACTTAAGCTACAACTCTTAAATTTTTCCTATTAAAATGTTTAACTCCAAGGTGATGAATCCACTTGTGTGGATCAAGGGAGGCCTGTTTTAGGAAGGACGCAAACATGCCTCCTCTCTCATTTATATGAATTTTCAATACTACTCAGCTTTCTTACTTCTGGTTTGACTTGTCAGATTAAACTGTTAATGTTAAATAAACTGGTTTGACTTGTAAGATTAAAATATTAATATTAAATAACTTGTTTGGTTGTCATTAAAATAGTAATATAAATGACCAATACACAATTTTATTATGAACATTATAAATATTTATATTTTACCAGCCTCAGAAAAAATACTATAGAAAAGCACAATTTGGAACGAAGAAAACTGTGAGAAACAGAGACCTCACAGAGTGAGATCTCTGATTTTTCCTGATTTCTATTATAGGATATAAGGTGTTGAAGAAATCAAATAGTATGAAGATATTCTAGAAGGATTCAAGTTATGACTGAGGTACACAGAGCAGGAGATAAGAGGCTTTCAGTCACAAGAGTTGTATCAGATGAAACAAAAGTTATCTACTTTATGTAACAGTGTTTTATTTTCCTGTAGATGGAGGATCTTTCTATGGAGCCCACACTGATGGATTCAGTATGTTGCTGACACATACTAGTTATGCTTGGCTCTAAGAGCATTTTTACTATAATCAAATCCAACATCCTGTCAGTTTATTGGATGTAGGTTTGGAATAATTTAGTGTTGAGTTTATACTTTGCAAAAGAGATGTGAGGAAGGTGGAGTGAGCTTTTTGTCACAAGAGAGATGCCACTAAATGCAAAATGTATCGACATCGAAAAGAGTGACTTCAAATTTTAGTCTGCAATTACATTTGTAAACACATGAATTTTAAGTAGACACAAGAAAATATTTGATGATATTTTACAGGACTTAAAACCTCAAAAAAACTGACAGAACATATTTGCTTTTGTTGCCTAAAACTCATCAATGTTAAAAAAAAAAAAGTGCAAGAAGCTGACACTCCATCGAACACCAGCACTCATCTCGCAAGGGGAGAATGATGGGTTATTTTTCAATCCCTCAAATATCCAAGCAAAGGACCATAAACTAAAATATGACTCTCTTCTATCTAAAACGTAAACGACTTTAAGTTCCCAGTCTCTTAGTGAAGCCTGGCCCTGGCATTGGCCATTTTCCTCTACATCTTAAAGCACTGTCTGTCTTGCAATTGTCTGTGCTGGTGGTGAGTGCTCATAGCTATTTGACGGCGGCACCTGAAGGTGAGTCGCATGGACAACAGTTAATAAGACTAGAATTTAAATAGGAGCTGCTTGTCCCCTAAAACACTCCATAAAATGAAGTAGAATGTCTAAAGTGAGAGTGCTATCTGAGTATTTCCCTTGCACGTGCCGTTTGCTCTCGATTTAAATAACTCCTGCATGGTAAATTAAGAGCAATAAAACTATTAATTTTTACAGCTGGTTCTGCAATAATAGACCCCCTTGCTGTAATGATAATTTTATTTGTTATTAGAGAATGTTATTTCCAGTGGACAACTAAGCTATATTTTAGTTCCTGGTATATTTTTTATAAATGCCTATTTCATCTGATAAAATGGTAGCCTCCCTTATCTGTATATAACCAATCCTATGTTCAAAAACCTCTCATCCACAGCCCATCACTGACTCTTGATGATTTAAAGAAAAACAATGGTTTTCAACTGTTGCAATGAAACAGAGAGAATAAAGAAATTATTGAAATAAATATTAATGAACAAATAAATAATGCATCAGTAGCTTTCTACTGCATTTACTATATCATTTTATTTTCCAGCCACTACCACAATTTCTATTCTCAAAATGTTTGTGAGAAATATAACCACAATGAATGGATTCCTCCTAACGGGGTTCTCTGACAACCGTGAGCTACAGATCTTGCATGCTTTGCTCTTCTTGGTGACATATTTATTGGGCTCAGCAGGTAACTTTGTCATTATCACCATCACAACACTGGACCCACAGCTCCAGTCTCCAATGTATTACTTTCTGAAGCATCTTTCCATTCTAGACCTCTCATCCCTTTCTGTCACAGTTCCCCAGTATATTGACAGCTCACTGGCAGGCAGTGGCTACATTTCATATAGCCAGTGCATGCTGCAGGTTTTTTTCTTCACAGCTTTTGCCTGGGGTGAGGTGGCTATTTTAACAGTGATGTCATATGATCGTTATGTGGCTGTTTGCCTTCCACTGCACTATGAGATCACTGTGTGCCCCAGAAAGTGTAGGTGGGCTGTGGCATTTGTATGGCTAAGCAGTGGCATCACAGGAACCCTGTATATAGCAACCATATTCTCTATTAGATTCTGCAGGACCAAAATAATCCACCAATTCTTCTGTGATGTCCCCCAGTTGCTCAAGCTCTCCTGCTCTAATGATTACCTTGTAATGGGAGTGACTGATTTCCTGTCTGTAATGGCCTTTGCCTGCTTTGCTGGGATTGTGTTCTCCTATGTACACATATTCTCCACGGTTCTCAGGATGCCCTCTGCTGAAAACCGGACTAAGGTCCTCTCTACTTGCCTGCCCCACCTTTTTGTTGTCTCATTGTTTCTTTTTACAGGCTCCTATGCATATTTAAACCCTACTTCAGACTCTCTAACTGCTTTAAATTTCTTGTTCTCTGTCTTTTACACAGTACTGCCTCCGACACTCAACCCTGTTATTTACAGTCTGAGAAATGAGATCATAAAGAGTGTTATAAGAAAGTTCCTACTGAGCACAAAATTCACTTGGTTAGAATCATCTTTGCCCTCTTGTCACTGACCGATTATATGCAGGAATGTTTTAAGTCATTGACATTCCTTAAATCTGTAATGTTAATGAAGAGTAATGTTTTTTTGTTTTTTGTTTTTTGTTTTTTTCTGTAGATAAGCTACATTTTTTAACCATGGATTGTCCTTATGGAAGTGCATTGTCTGACTTCTTTGCATTTTACTATTTAAACTATTGTTCCTTCAAATTAAGAAAAATTACAAGCCTTATAACATAGATCCACTATGTCTTACCTCCTAATGCATCCACACACAGACACACTGACAATCTCAGTGTGTTTAATACCTTTGCAGAGACAATAATACAATTATAAAAAAAGACAAAAGTAATACTATTAACTCCAGTTCTGCCCACCAAGTCATGCTTTTCAACTCACCCATTTATTTTCAATTTTTTATTTTATTTTGGTCTATCAATATACATATTGATATAAATTTACATTATATCACTAGGTAAATTTGTATATATATATATATATATATACCTACAGCTATAATTTTCCTGAAATATAGTTTTCAATTCATATTAAACTTTATCTGTGTATTCACTCATTTTTCCTCTGTTAAATATCTTAAATATTTAATTATTATTGTAAGTAATAACAAAATTAAAGGTTTTTTTTGTAATCCTAATGAATAAGCTTATTGAATCAAAGTGTACAAAATATATTCATCTCTTAAATGATGCGACCATATAAAAATAATTCATTTATGTGTCAATTAGCAATGCGGGGCAAAGGCACTGCTCTTCTAAAAGTGCCATGATTTTACTAGTTCATGAAGAACTATGGATAGGGAACCTTAGAGCTAGGTACAGTCCTGTCAGATGCCTAGGATATTAGATAAACAGCACTGGAATCTGTGAGGATTGTATAACATCAATAATCCACCTTTGCTATATTTCTTCAAATGTGTGATAGTTCTGTAGAGCAAACACATCGATAATATTTCTTAGTTTTCATATTATTTTAATTTTATATATATCTTCTCTTATTTTTGTAAGAAGCTACATTAGAATGATATTCTCTTGTTTACAGAGGTAAAAGAATTTTTCAGTCTCTCAATTATTGAGGCTAATTTTCTATTCAAATTTTGTACATAGAATATTGAGTTTCAGATTTTGACACTGGTAGTAATAAAACTTAATCTAGATTTTCAAGAAACAACCACAAGAGATGATCACCAGACCTGTTACCTCCTCAGACACTGGACTGTTCAATCCATCTACAGAGCATGTAAATTACATTTGATTCTTTGTGAGTTACACACTTTCTGAAGTACTTCTTGTGCTAGCTTGCTATTTTATTGGTTGAATGAATTATAACATAAGCAAACCAAGGCTATTTTCTAGCCTTATATTTTAAATTTATTTATAGGAGCATCCATTTATAACTTTTGGCTAACAAAATATTGGATTACCATTACCAAATAACTTGGGCAAAGAGCTACTCTTTGGCTTATAAGTATTTTATTGTCTCTGTACTAGATATGTTGAATGTCTTCATTTTAGATAATAAAAGTTATTTTCTTTGAGATCATTGATCTTTCAAATGTATAAAATAATTTTGAGAGTGTTGTGCTCTGTGACATTAAATTGTTTGCTTTTAATCATAAGTACAAAAAGCCTTGTTGTAGACCTCAAACAAAAAATTGGTAATTTTTTAAAATAATACATTTCTCAATAGTTGTTACATAATTGCATTTGTGTGGTTCATTTAAATATAAGTTACTTTCTATTCACACTAACCTTGTGATAAACAACCAATGACCTTTGAATCCCATAAATGTGAGAATTCTACCCCTTCCTTCCAAGTGACAGTACACTCTCTCTTCTGACTACCCTATATCTAGAGCGTAGGTATAAGACTTAGGGCACAATCCTAGGTGCTCCAGCTGAAGACGCCAGTTTAGAGGAGCACACTGTGGGAAAGAGGACTCTTACGCAGCAGTCATTTCCACCAAAGCTAACGGCTTCAGTACTCAGCTCTGGAGAGCAGTCTCCTGGAGCCCAGAACCCGGTCCCTGAATCAGTGGTATCACAATTGTTACCTGATCCCCGTTATGTCAGCAGTCTGGTCTGTGCTAGGACATTCATGACTTTGGGCTCATCTTCTCCAAGGTTGGTTACCTGCCTTCCAAGGAGATCCTAAGAGCTACCCAGTGTTCTTTAAAAATTTTGTTTAACTTTCTGAGAAAGTGCCAGATTGATTTCCAAAGTGGTTGGACAAGTTTGCACTCCCACCAGCAATGGAGGAGGTTCCCCTTTCTCCACACCCTCAGCAGCATGTGTTGTCACTTGAGTTTTTGATCTTAGCCATTCTGATTGGTGTAAGGTGAAATCTCAGGGTCGTTTTGATTTGCATTTCCCTGATTACTAAGGACTTTGAGTATTTCTTTAAGTGTTTCTCTGCCATTCAATATTCCTCTATTGAGAATTCACTGTTTAGCTCTGTACTCCATTTTTTAAAATTGGATTACTTGATTTGTTGCTGTTTAACTTCTTGAATTCTTTCTATATTCTGGATATTAGCCTTCTGTCAGATATAGGGTTGGTGAAGATCCTTTTTCAGTCTATAGACTGTCATTTTGTTCTGCTGACAGTGTCCTTTACTTTATAGAAGCTTTTCAGTTTCATGAGGTCCCATTTATTGAGAGATTCTACCCAGCAGGATATCAAATTAGATGCTGAGACTCATAGCTAAACTCTAGGCACAATGCAGGGAATCTTATGAAAGAAGGGGGAGATAGAAAGACCTGAAGGTCCTGGAAGGGTCAGGAGCTCCACAAGGAAAACAACAGAGCCAAAATACCTGGGCCAAAGGGGGCTTGCAGAGACTGATACTCAAACTAAGGACCATGTATGAAAAGGATCTAGACCCCCTGTTCAAAGGAAGCCCATTGGTTGCTCAGTTTCCAAGTGGGTTCCCTGGTAAGGGGTACAGGGGTGGTCTCTAACATAAACTCAGCGGCAGGCTCTTTGATCACCTCTGCCTAGAGGGTGCAGCCTTGCCAGGCCACAGAGGAGGAGGGAGGAGGAGGAAGCAGCCAGCCTTGATGAGACTTGATAAACTAGGGTCAGATAGAAGGGCAGGAGGTCCTCCCCTATCAAGGGACTAGAGAAATAGTATGGCGGGGGGCAGAAAGAGGGTGGGTGGAACTGGGAGGAGACAAGGGAGGGGGCTGCAGAAGGGACACAAAGTGAATAAATTGTAATAAATAAATATATAAATAAAATTAAATTTAAAAAATAGGGACAAAAAAAGAAAAAAAGAAAGACCTGGAGGGGACAGGAGCTTCACAAGGAAAGCAACAGAGTCAAAAAATATGGGCCCAGGGGTCTTTCCTGAGACTGATACTCCAACCAAGGACCATTCATAAAGATAACCTAGAACCCTGCACAGATGTAGCCTATGGCAGCTCAGTATCCAAGTGGGTTCCCTAGTAAGGGGAACAGGGGCTGTCTCTGACATGAACTCAGTGACTGGTTCTTTGATCACCTCCCCTTGATGGAGGAAGATGATGCAGCCAGCCTTGATGAGACCTGATAAGCTAAGGGAGACCTGATAGAAGGGGAGGAGGTCCTCCCCTATCAGAGGACTAGGGAAAGGGTATAGGGGGAGAAGAGGGAGGGTGGGGTGGGACTGGGAGGAGATGAGGGAGGGGGACACAGCAGGGATACAAAGTGAATAAATTGTAATAAATAAATACATAAATAAAATTAAATTTAAAAAATAAAAACAGAAAAAGAAGAGATATCTCCAAATTTGATACAAATACAAAAGAGAGATGACTAATGTGTAATTAGCTTTATAACCTAATAATTCCAGGGTTTGGTAATGTTTTTAATGGCCAAAGGGAGCTGGAAAAGCTTGAGTTTCAATGGGATGTCTTAAATTCATTTTCCACATGTTGTAATACAACTCACTCAGAATCATTCTTATACTAAGAAGGAAAATGTTTCTTCAATTTGACTGTGAAGGCACATTTTATTTCCCTTACTTGCTTGTCCTATCAGACTTCTCCATTAAAATAAATCTGCTACATCACTGCAGTGACACAAACTATATTGCTATTGTGTTACTATTGTGAACATCTACTTGTGAAATGAAAGCAAAAGTTTTTGTCTGTGCTGTATCACTCTCAGAAAACAGATGCTAGACTGAATATCAACAAATGAGTTGGAAGGCACCCAGCCTCTCATCTGCTTTCACTTTCCTCAGTTCTATTTTTTAGTTATTTTTGGAGATTTATAATTACATCCTCTCCCCATTTCCTTACCTTTCTCCAAACCAACCCATATACCCCACCTTGAACCCAAAATTATTAAACAGATGTTACCGTAATAAGGGTTGTTCTGTTTTGTTTGTTTGTTTGTTTGGATTTTTTGTGTGATTTTTGAGACTGGGTTTCTCTGTGTAGCATTGGCTGTCCTGAACTCACTTTGTAGACCAGGCTGGCCTCAAACTCAGAGATCCATCTGCCTCTGCCTCCCTGAGTGTTGGAATTAAAGGTCCTCCATGCCTAGCTCATAAGGTTTTTTGTTATGTTTTGTTTTGTTTTTGTTGTTGTTTTATGTGTATTGCTTTGGGATTACATGATTCTTTTTTTTTTTTTTTTCCTTTTTAGAGAAGCTTTACCAAAGAGTGAGGATTTGCCTGCAGAGAACATGAACATGCACAAACACTGCCTTGGAAAAACACTTGATCATGACACTCTCATGACAGTTTGAGTTTAAGGGAATTAATATGTACAGTACTTTTTCTGAAACATTTAATATTGATTTGATCCTAATTTTTGTGTGATCATATAAATGTCACAAGTCTTAAGGTGTGACAGCCTCCATATCTACCCATAACTATATATTCTATTTTTCCTTCCTGGGGAGATCCATTCCTCCTCCACAAGTCTCTTACTCTAGACTTTACTTCTGTGTCATGTAGATTGTAGCTTGTAGCTTGCTTATCACTGATTTAACAGGTAGCATCCACATAT